TTGCGCATTAGAGTCCCCAAAAAGTCTATGTTCTTGTTCATAGTAAAATTCAATGACGATTAAACAATACCCGCGTTGTTGTCCGCCAATCGGTAAACATCACTATAGATCGGCGGGCCTGGGGACTATATGGGGACTGTACGAAAATATTTACGTATGTTGACATTTTTCTGTAAGACGGTTCTCTACTCACAAAGTAGCCTAAATACAGCAAATAATGGCCAAATCAGTTGAAAAACGTGGCCAAGACCACAGTCACAGCTGAAATCAGGGATACATTTATATAAGGGTTATACCAAAACGTGGCCCAACCAATATTCTCTTGGGGGTTACAAATTCAATAGAAAACAAAATTTTCTTTTCTGACAACCAATTAGATGTGAAAGTGGACTTGGAGATACTTTATTTAAATAAATTCCTGTGTGGCAATTATATGTATGATGGTTCCCTACCCCAGGGTAGCATAAATACAATTTTTAGCCAAATCAATTAATGAATATGGTCAAGACCAAAATGGGCCCTACTCTGAAAATTTCAAACTTTATGCGAAGAGGTTTTCTACCTCCTTAGAAACAAATATGCCAAATAATGTCCAAAATATTAAAAAAGTGACCAAGACACCAAAAAAACTTAAATCATACGATGGTTATATAAATATGAAATCGGGTTGTACCCTTATCCGTGAGTTATGATCGATATCATGACCTGCAAAAGCGATTAAAGGTATCTCGAATGTTTGGGAAGAATTTCTGCAAGGATAGAAATTCTTTTCTTACTAAGAGTCCCATTCGCTCTACTTTTTTCCACCCTTTATATTTGGTATTTTTCTGATTGTACATTGGACGGATTATTGTGACAGGAAAGAAGTAGTTCCACGCTTTGAAATGAGCCCCATTAGGGTTTTTCGGTAATTTTCGTTTGTTAAAATGTGTTCGCATCTTCCAGCTGAACCACGATGTCGGCCCTGGAGTTGAAAGGTAGATGTCAGTTAACATCGTATTTCCCACTTATTTAATTTTTTGGTGAAAATTTGTATATAGTGAAAAATTATTCTTTATTTTGTTCACAAAAAATTTACTGAATTCAATTAGATAATACAAATTGAAAAAAAAATTGACAAAAGAAGAATAACACATTGAAAAAATCTTCAACTTGTTCGCTGATTTTGTACAGAAAATGTTTAAAGATCCTTATATAGTTTGTCAATAGAATGTACTTCTATTTTAAAATTCGATTCTATTAAATTATTTCGACATCATCTATTATGTTTCGCCACCACATAATTCGGTACTACACTTCCATGTAACTCGCCATCAATTTCATTTCTCAAGAAATCAAGTCAATTAAATAAATTGGTATTAATATTTGAATTCAAAAAAAAAAAAAATAAAAATAAAAATAAAAAAAAACACTACAAATGTACATTAGAAAAAAGTAAGTCAAAATGGAAAAAATTATGCAAAATAAAACATTACTATTGTACATTTCAAAAGTCAAAATGAAAATGTTAATATAACACATTTTTACGCGATTTTTTTGGATATTATCCTTTTTGGAGAGGAGACAATTCCGAATTTGTATGAATCGTTAAAAATAGTCCAGCGGTTCTTAAGTTATAAGCGTAGTAACTAACACAACTTTCTTTTATATATATAGATTAGATAACGTGACATGTTCAGATTTATGTTTGTAGATATTTGCAAAAATGTTCGTTTATGGTATAATTATCTATAATTTCAAATAAATTTTGATCGCTTCGCTGAACTTCAGTGGCTGTAATTGGATGTTTGTTTGTTTTTTTTAGAACCAATGTTCAATGTATTAGGATGTCGAGTGGTTATTCGAAGAGCGAAGAGAGAGCGAGAAAAGGGATATTAGAAGTTCAGAGACAATGATAACTTATACAGGGTGAGATAAAAAACAGCAAAGTCAAATGCCATAATTTTTACATTTTTTTGAAATTTTATTGAATGAAAGCAAAAAATGTCGGAAATAGCATCAAATTTTGGAATAAGTTAAGATTTTTTTGAATTGGTTATCTGTGGCACGAATTATGGCCTTCAAACGGCCAATGAAATCGGCACACGCTGCCCTAATGGTGCTCTGCGGTATTTTGGCCCATTGCCGGCGAAGTGCTTGCTTGAGGTGATCGACACTTTGGTATTTTTTAGTGCCAACCTTGCTTTCCAAAATACTCCAGACATAATTGTCCAATGGATTGGTATCCGGAGATTTTGCGCTGGAAATGAAACTAGGAATCTCATTATGTAACCATTCTTGGGTAACGCGTGGTGAGTACGATGGTGCTGAGTCCTGTTGGAATGTCCAAGGTCTGCGGCCAAAATGTTTGGGTTCATCCTACAGAATATTTTCGCGATAATATTAGGCATTTATTCTGATGCCAAGGTCGATTAATACGAGCGGAGAGCGACCATCGGCTGTTATGGCGGCCCACACCTTCACCATGGCCGGCGCTTGAGTTCTGGTGGCCAACGAAGGTGCATATTTTCAGCTGACCTCTTTGGCAAGTAAACCCGACCATTTTCTTTGTTTACAAACTGCCGGACAACGGATGTATTCCCTTCGGAAAAAAAATTCGGCAGTTCACCACTTTCGGCTAAGCGAAGCAACTCTTTAGCTCTTTTGAGACTATTTTCTTTCTGTTGCGGTGTAGGTTCTTGCACTTTTTGGAATTTCAATGACTTTACCCCGAGCACAATTTTCATTATTTGCCGAATGGAATATTGCGATATGTTCAGATCACAAGCCATTTTTTCGGCCACTGCGACGCGGGTTTCGATCAAGTCACTTCTTTACTTTTTGAAACATTTCTGCTGATATTGCTGTTTTCTTCCGTCCACTTCCTTGACTTCGGGCTACGCTACCAGTATCACGGTAAAAAAAAAGATTTTTTTTCACATTTAAATGCTGGAGTGCTCTAACGATAGCCACTTGTGGTTTTCCATCCAAATATAAAGAAATCACACTATCACGCTTGAATTCCATCACGAATTACTTTATTTACTGGAAAATTCTCACCAAAATGCTTTTGTGCGATTGTAAACAATATAATCAAGCTGTCACTGGAATAATTTTAACAGCTGTCGGACGAGGGGCTTAGGAATGAAAGCAGTCTGAAGTTGGTTGCAGTTTCTTTATCTCACCCTGTATAGACACTTCTCTTCATGGGGGGTAAAGTGCTTAGAAAGAACTTCTAACGTGAATTTGTAGACAATTCCATTGAAAAATGTAGTTAAAACCATCAAAATATCGAATATAGGGAAGTACCGTTAAATGGGGGATATACAATATCGTGGACCTACATATATAGACAATACTCTTCCAGGGGGTAAGGTATTCAGAGGGAACTCCGTTTGTGGATTTTCGACAATTTGGCTACAATCATCAAAATGCTGAATATTGGAGGGTACCGTTATATGGGGCCTATACGATATCGTGGAGCGATATAGCCCATCTTTGAACTTGGTCTCCTTACAGGCTATAGAATTTTACGCCGATCAAGAATATGTATACTTTGTTATGTCTAAAAGTATTATTTCGATGAGTTACAAACGGAATGACGAACTTAATATACCCTCCATACTATTTATGGCGTAGGGTATAATAAACGAACTATTGCGTATCTGGTAGAAAAATACAACTCTGATTTGTCTCGTGTAAACGCTGTGCTATAAACACTTGATAATGTTTACGAGAAATTTACGTTGGAATTATTCACTGTGCAATAGCATCTTCTTATACCCAACACCCATATATATCTTTAACCGATTTCGACCTAATTCAGACTAGAAGTAAGTACATCAAATTTGATGAAAATCGGTTCAGATATAGCCCCAGCTCACATATACATATGTTTCATCCGATTAGAGCTTATAGAGCTGAAATAGAAAACACATTTGCCAAATGTTATGGAGATCGGTTCAGATTTGGAAATAGCTCCCATATATATCCTTATTGCGATTTCCGGTTTATTGTGCAAATAATGGCAAATATCAGCCCAATTGGAGTGAATTTCGGGACGTACGTTTCCCTTTTGTGGAACTCAGCTCCGATATATATTTTTAATAATCCTTCTCGAAATGATATCATGTGCTCTATAGCAATGTTCGATCGATTCACAATTGGATACGGCTCCCATATAAGTTCCCTCTGAAACCAAACTATGACTGCTCTTAGGCCAAATGTTGATAGGTGGTATGATCTACTTCAAATAAATTCTTAGTCGGTACTGCCCGACGCTTCCTTACTGGTTAACTGTCAGGAATACTTATTTTTTGTAGTCATTTGACGATCCAACCTAATAACTTCACATGTAAACTGAATGGCCGTTTCCATTGACCATACTGTTGTTATGTTTCAAAAAAAGAAGTCTTTGCATACCACTCGATTACCTTCAACTCTTTGCAAGTTGAATGAACTCATTTGCTGCCGCGCCAGTAAGCGGTTAATGCATTCTGCAACCAACAAAGTTCGGACACAACGGACAACTCGTTGATGATATCGCCAAACTTTTATTGCAACCTATCGGCAGTTGGAGCTAATAAAAAACAACATTTTACACTGAGAGTTGTTATTGGTGACATGAGCTGGCTCAAGGTTGTCTAGAACATGAGCGAGAGCATCTGATTGTTTTTTAGCTGTTAAACTTGTTGGAATTCGCTTGTCGCTAAATGTTGCACACAGCGGCAGTTAACATTTTATTACAAACTGTAATTATAGTCAATCGGGTTCTGGTTTTGGTGAATCCGGGGAAACATGTTCTGTGGTCACGTAGCTTCTCTTATCTTACATCAAATTGTAGGGATAATAGGGCTATTAAATATGAAGATAACAGGATAACTTACCCGTAGTTTATATAAAATATAACAATCGGAAACATACCTGCAATTAAGGAAGAGAGAATGAGGTTTATTATCATTTCTGAGAAAAGGGGAAGTGGTGTCATATAGGGAGGATTTACAAAAATAAGTAACAAAACCCCTTAAGAATTTTAATAAAATATCGAAACCTTAAATGATGCGAATCAAAACCTTAATCGTATAATAAAACACGTTCAGCTGTTCTGCAGGCTACGCATAATTTCAGAACAGTGTCAAGGTTGTCATTGAGAAGATAACAAGTTCTTTGTTTTTTGCCAAAGGCCAGTTCAATTAACATGGTTATAAAATTTAAAGCAATTACATTGTTTTTATTAGCCACATAATTTGAGCAGAATGAATGAATACTTGGCGAATTTGAAGAGATTTGTAGTCTTGATTTATTTCAACGACCTTCTGGCTGATTTCATTATTTCAACAATTGGTTCCACTAACAGAGTCAACATAAATGCTGTTAAAACCAATAGAGCAATGGCCAAACCGGTAATGAAGCAACAAAGAATCTGCAAAAAGAATATGGGAAGATGTTAGTAGACACGTTGAGGATGAGCAGGAGGATTTGGAAATTCTTTAGGTTTATATGGAACCACTGTGTCCTGTACTGTACAGGGTGAAATGAAAAAAACTGCAACCAACTTCAAATTGCTGTCATTTCTAAGCCACTCGTCCGACAGCTGTTAAAATTATTCCAATTTTATGTTTAAAAGCGTACAAAAGCATTTTGGTGGATTTGGAAATGATGGAATTCAAGCGTGATTTCTTTATATTTGGCTGGAAAACCGCATGTGGCTATCGTTGGAGCACTCCAGCAGTTAAATGTGAATAAATCTTTTGTGTCTCGTACCATCGCTCGTTACCGTGATAACCGACGTCAAGGAAGTGGACGGAAGGAAACAGTAATATCAGCCAAAGTTGTTCGCAAACGTAAAGAAGTGACTTGATCGAAATCCGCGTCGCAGTGGCCAAAAAATGGCTCGTGAGCTCAACATATCGCAATATTCCATTCGGCAAATATTGAAAAATGAGCTCGGGGTAAAGCCATTGACATTCCAAAAAGTGCAAGAACTTACACCGCAACAGAAAGAAAATAGACTTAAACGAGCTAAAGAGTTGCTTCGCTTGGTCGAAAGTGATGATTTGATTTTCTTCGATGAGAAAACATTCGTTGTCCAGCAGTTTGTAAACAAACAAAATGATCGTGTTTACTTGCCGAAGAGGTCAGCTGAAAATGTGCACCTTCGGTTGGCTACCAGAACTCAAGCGCCGGCCATGGTGATGGTGTAGGCCGCCATAACGGCCGATGGTGTTAATCGACCGTGGCATCAGAATAAATGCCGAATATTATCAGCTGAAAATGTGCACCTTCGGTTGGCTACCAGAACTCAAGCGCCGGCCATGTTGATGGTGTGGGCCGCCATAACGGCCGATGGTGGCTCTCCGCTCGTGTTAATCGACCGTGGCATCAGAATAAATGCCGAATATTATCGCTAAAATATTCTGGAAGGTGTATTAAAGCCTTGGGCGCGCAAACATTTTGGCCACAGACCTTGGATAATCCAACAGGACGCAGCACGCGCCACCCAAGAATGATTACAAAATGAGGCTCCTCGCTTCATTTCCAGCACACAATGGCCACCAAAATCTCCGGATACCAACCCGTTGGACTATTGTGTATGGAGTATTTTTGAAAGCAAGGTTGGCACTAAAAAATACCAAAGTGTCGATGATCTCAAGCAAGCACTTCGCCGATAACGGCCCAAAGTACTGCAGAGCAACAGTTGGGCAGAGTGTGACGGTTTCATTGGCCGTTTGAAGGCTATAATTCGTGCCAAAGGTGACCAATTCGCCAATTCCCCCACCTTTTGTGGAGGATGTACCAGAAGAGATGGACCGATATACCCCATCTTTACACAAGTCCTTGGGTTAATAAAAATATTCTGATAAGCGTAATTTCGGATTTTATGATTGTTTTGATTATTCAAAATTTGAACCCTTTGTGGCGGAGGTACCAGAAGGAATGATCCGATCTCTAACAGAAGGAGTAGACCGATATATTCCATCTTAACACCTGACCTTGGGTTATTAAAAATATTGGGATGTGTGAAATTTGAAGACAATCGGACTCTTACATCACACTTTATAAGAGTTTTAATTATTTAAAATTTTGACCCTTTGTGGGGGAGGTACTTGATGGAGTAGACCGATATATTTTCGCACCTGAACTAGAATATTAGGATTTGTAAAGTTAGAGCAAAATCGGACTATCCTTTCTCTTTTTGTGCAGTAAAATATTTCATTGAAAATGTCAACATTTTGTGAGGGAGGTACCAGAAGGAGTGAACCAATATTGACCATATCTGAACTCGATCTTAGTTTGATAATAATATTATTTCGAGAGTTATCGTGCGCACCAGCCAGACAGACAGATGGACGGATATCGCTAGATCAACTCCGAATGTCCTGAGCGGATTTGGTCCAAAGAGACCTAGGGTCTAAAACTGTTATTTCGTTTTGGCCGTTTCTGTAGCCATATGGATGAGGGTATAAAAAGACAAAAAGGCGCGGGTTTAGTTTTGTTTCGTTTGCAGCTGTTGATTGAGAAAATATACATACAAACATAATAACGGTATGAAAGAGTTCTCGGTAAGAGTAAAATCTGCTCGATTTCGAATGAATTGTGCTCCCACTCTAAAACGGGCCAAAAATGCTCGATCCTATTCTAGTGACATTAAAAATCACTGAACTGGGGATCAACTAGTGTGTTTGGAAGTCATGTTTAAAATTTAGTAAATTTGAGCTTTAAAAGTAATCGAACAACTTTACCCCCTCCTTATGATTCATTTTGATCTTCGTGGATTCGCCATGTTTGTCATAATAACTAAACAGCTCATCATCGTATATTTCGGCTAATGTTCTCGGAGAGAATCGTTGTTCCATGCGGCAATATTCAACGCTGTAACGCAGCGGTAGATTGACACGTCTGTATTGATTTAAGATCTGCTGTGAGGATAATGGAAAGATAACAGGGGAAGGCAACTCGACCTCTTTTGGCAGATTTGAAGAATTATCTTGATCTTCATGTCCATAAATTGTTCTTCGATGAAATTGTTCGTTGACATCCAAAGATAAGTTGCTCTCTTGGGACTGAGAAGAGTTTTTGGACACAATAGTGTGGAGAGATGATGGCATTTCATGATCTTCATCATTGTCAGATGTTGACATAATAGAGTCTAGGGAAATTTCCTGGGTTTGTATGGCTTGTTCCTGGGTGGTGGTTGGAAGGTTTTGGTTAGAGGTTCCCTCAATTGGTTCTTTTACATTTTGTAAGCTTATAACAGCTTGAGTGGAATTTGTGGAACTGTCTGTGTCGGACAGCGGACTCAAAAACACATCTTTTGCCGTTTCTTTGAAATCTTCTGGTCTTGAAGATATTTCATCGCTACATACATGAGGTTGAGAGCTTGAAGAGTCTGCTGTATCTGAGATGGCACTGACAAACACGTCCGAATCCGATGACAATGCAGGTTTTGTTGCCGGTTTCTTTGTTTCATTTGGTTCAGACATTATTGCTATTATCGCTGTCTGTCTGTCTGCCTGACTTTGAAAATGCGAATGACCGAGATTTTCAAGACTCTTCCGTGTGCTGCTTTTGTGTTAGACTTATAAATACGAAAATGATTAATGCTGCGCCAAAACCTATTGTGAAAAATATTAACTTAAACGCGAAAAAAACGCTTATTCAGCCACGTGTAGTTATGCACATAAGTACTCAGAATTCTACTTACTTTTTGTTTTGTTGTTAATTCTGTATTATTGTTATTGTTGGGATTATCTAAAGAATTCTTCATTATTTTGTGGCAACAATTTTAATGGCAAACGTTTTGTGACAATTACTCTCAAGAAGAAAAACATTTCAAAATTATTTTTAATTTGTTGAAGTTATTTGCATTGACATGTTTGACGAGTTAAAAAAAATTAGCGATCGAATGACAATTAAATTAAAACAAAAGAAATATATTATTGCAGAATTTGAAGCGTGTTAGATTGGTTATAAATATAGAACATGTGTTAACTGAAGTGATTAAAATAAGTTATATGATTGGGATCAAGGTTTATGAACTGGTCACACAGGAGGCGAATTAATTAAAAAATATTAGCTCCGTTTCAGAACTGCAAGAATATAAAACCAGTAAGGAAAAGACAAAAGTCGGGCGGACCGCTTATATGATGTCCTACATCACTAAACCTATTTGCACAATAAACCTGAAATCGGATTAAGGATATATATGGGAGTTATTTTCAAATCTAAACCGATAAAATTCATCAAAGGTAATTCCGAGCTCTATAAGATATCTGGTACGCAATATCATTCTTCTGGAGTGTATATTACGAATGTGAGGGACTTAAACACTATATCGGATGAAACATATATATGGGAGCTATAGCCGATTTTCACCAAATTCAGGTCATTTGCACTGATATATATCCACAATCAACCCGAAATCGGTTGAAGATATATGGGGGAGCTATATCCAAATCTGAACCGATCTTGATACAACTAAGCAGAGGCATTTCTGGACTGTATGTGCTTTCTGATGCCAAACATTATTCTCGTGGAGTACATATTACGAATTAGAGTTACAAATCGGGTTTCATCCTATGGGAGCTATAGCTATATCTGATCCGATTTTTTTTTCAGAATTCGATGTACCTGCTTATAGACTGAATTTGGTCGGATGTACCAAAATTGAGGACCTTTCGACTGATATTGGTCATTTGGTGAACAAATAACACGATATCGGTTGAAGATATATATGGGAGCTATACCAAGCCTGAACCGATATTGGTAAAATTGGGCAGATGTATTTCTGGGCTGTATTTGATATCTAGTATCAAATAACATTCTTGTAGAGTGCATATTACGAATGTGAGGGACTTAAAAAACCAAATCGGATGAAACATATATACGGGAGCTATAGCTATATCTCAACCGATTTTCACCAAATTTGATGTACTTGCTTCTAGACTGAATTCCGTCGGATGTGCCAAAATGCAGGTCATTTTGGATAATATTGGCAATTTGGATCATAATTGACTAGAAAGCGGTTAGATATATATATATGGGAGCTATATCTAAATTTTAACCGATTATCGCCAATTTCAATAGGGTTCGTCCTTGGGGCAAACAAATATTGTTTGGAAAATTTAATCTTAATTGGATAATAAATGCGACCTGCATTTTGTTTACAAAAATACATGGCTAAAATCTGGCTAAAATCATCAAAATACCGAATATCGCGGGGTACCGTTATATGGGAGCTATACGTTATCGTTAACCTATATAGAGAATTCTCTGTCGGGAGGTAAAGTGCTCACAAAGAACCCCTTGTGACCATTCCGTGGAAAAATGTGTCTAAAAACATCAAAATACCGAATATCGGGGGTACCGTTATATGGGGGCTATACGAGATCGGTGACCTATATAGATAATTCTCTGACGAGGTATAAAGTACCCACAAGGAACTCCTTGTGTGGATTTTCAGACAATTCCGATGAAAAATGTGGGTAAAATCATCAAAATACCGAATATCGGGGGTAACGTTATATGGGGGCTATACGAGATCGTGGACCTGTATAGACAATTCTCTCTGAAAATGCCCACAAGGGACTCCTTTTGTGGAATTTCAGACAGTTCCATTGAAAAATGTGGCTAAAATCATCAAAATACCGAATACTGTGGGGGCACCGTTATATGGGGGCTATACGATATTGTGGACCTATATAGATAATTCTCTGCCGAGGTATAAAGTACCCACAAGGAATTACTTGTGTGCATTTTCAGACAATTCCATCGAAAAATGTGGCTAACATCATCAAAATACCGAATATCGGTGGTAACGTTATATGGGGGCTATACGATATCGTGGACCGATATAGCCCATCTTCGAACTTAACCTGCCTGCAGACAAAAGAGAGATCTGTGCAAAATTTTAGCTTCCTATCTTAATTCGTTTAGACTGTAGCGTGATTACAACAGACGGACGGACATGGCTAAATCGTCTTAGAATTTTACGCTGATCAAGAATATATATACTTTGTTGGGTCTAAAATGATTATTTCGATGAGTTACAAACGGAATGGCGAACTTAATTTTTTTTGTCATAGAAGTTATTTTTAAAACAACTTCTGGGGAGAATATCCCAGACAAAAAACAAGGGAACCCTGCCTTACCCCCTGGTAAACATTACGTTCTGGTAAACGTTACGTTCTCCATTAATAAACATGTTGTTAGTATAAAAACAACAATAAAGGGATTAAGCCTGACCATTTTGCAATAATAAAAATGTTTTCTTTCCAATGGTGGAGGTAATTGTTCAATTAGGCTCGGTTAGGCTCGGCCGAACTTAAGGGCTAAGTATATAAGAAGCTTGAAGTCATGGCTAGGCATATTTTGTGACATTTCACAAAGGGATTACAGAGCCGCACTAAAATCCAGCCGTCGTTTTCCAATATAATTTGACATTAATATGCCTAGCCATGACTTCAAGCTTCTTATGTACTTAGCCCTTTAATGTTTTTTACTTACTATTTAAGTCAGAATAACCTGAAATTTACTTTGGCAAATTTCGCTGCATAGAAAACAGGACACCATCTTTGATTTGTGTATCTTTAATGGATTTCAAATGAATAATTTTCAAAAAATATGATCGCATGACTCTACCTTCTTAATTCTACTATAAAAAATTACAAGCAAATAAATATTGCAACTTGTTGCAAGAAAGACTGCTATTGAAAACTTAGATATTATTTTCATAGTTAATTCCCAGAACTACATACCTTAGACCTTTAACCTCAATTTAATGACTGCAATATTAGAACCAGATAGACAAACAATTAAAATGATTCAACTGAGAGTACTGCATTGGACTTCTGACCTTAATATCTTGGGAAAAATTATAAAATAAAATAATTTCTCTGGAATTCCCATAAAATAATTCGAACCTATATTTATAAATAAAAATCAGAAACTTGTTTAGTTGTCTTTGAATTGACGTTTTGTTTTATTGGCATATTTGTACAAACAAATGGCATGTGCCGGCTCTGGTATCAATTACGTGACTAATCGAATGACAGTTGGCATCTGTCATGACGCCAAATGCAATCAAATTTTCCAAGCAATGCCTGTTTGGGAGAATGCGAAAAGGCATTTCATTTTTTAATGTTCTTGCAACTTAAAATGGTATGAAATACAGGGTGTGGCAAAGAAACTTTTGTAGGGTCGGAAAAGTTGAAAGACGGAAAAACTTGTTGGTGAGGGTGTTCTGGTATTTCCCATGCGTTTCCAAAAGACGTGAGTTAGGCGCCTAGACATACTGTACTTGTACTTGTTCACCCTGCGTTTCTTTGTCCTTTTACGAAGAATCCTACCGATGACTTAACCTAATAAAAAAACTGGTTTTATGTGTTCTCACTTTAAAAGTAAGTTTACGTTTTAAAGGAGAAGGTTAACACCTTGGTATAATCAAGAAGGTAAAGTTATGCAAACATAACTTCGCAATTTTGACAAGATTATTTACAGAAAATTTAGAGATAGGTATGCTTATTTGAAATGACTTTACCCTCTTAATTTTACCACGATTAACCCGGATAGAAGCTCTAAAGGTGTCGGCACATAAGCAGCTTGAAGTCTTCGCATTTTTTTTTTTAAATTTTATTGAATGAAAGCAAAAAAAATTCGGAAATAGCATCACATTTTAGAATGAGTTTAGATTTGTTCGAATTGGTCAACTTTGGCAGAAATTATGGCCTTCAAACGGTCAATGAAACCGTCACACGATGCTGGAATGTTGCTCTGCGGTATTTTGGCCCATTTCCGGCGAAGCGCTGGTATTTTTTAGTGCTAACCTTGCTTCTCTAAATACTCCATACACAATAGTCCAACGAATTGGTATACGGAGATTTCGGTGGCTATTGTGCACTGGAAATTAAGCGAGGAACCTCATTTTGTAACTATTATTGGTGCTGAGTGCGATGGTGCTGAGTCCTGTTGGAATGTGCCAGGTCTGCGGCCAAAATTTTTGCGTCCCCAAGGCTTTAATACAACCTCCAGAATATTTTCGCTATAATATTCGGCATTTATTCTAATGCCATGGTCGATTAATACGAGCGGAGAGCGACAATCGGCTATTATGGCGGCCCACATCATCATCATGACCGGTGCTTGCGTTCTGGTGGCCAACCGAAGGTGTACATTTTCAGCTGACCTCTTTGGCAAGTAAACACGATAATTTTGTTTGTTTACAAACTGCTGAACAACGAATATTTGCTCATCGGAGAAAATCAAATTCGCAGTTCACCACTTTCGGCCAAGCGAAGCAACCCTTTAACTCTTTTCAGTCTATTTTTCTTCTGTTGCGGTGTAAGTTCTTGAACTTTTTGGAATCTCAATGGAATTACCCTGAGCTCATTTTACAATATTTGCCGAATGGAATATTGCGATATGTTCAGCTCACGAGCCATTTTTCGGCCACTGCGACGCGGGTTTCGATCAAGTCGCTTCTTTATTTTTCGAACCATTTCTGCTGATGTTGCTGTTTTCTTCCGTCCACTTCCTTGACGTCGGGCTACGCTACCAGTATCACGGTAACGAGCAATGGTACGAGACACTAAAGATTTATTCACATTTAAATGGTGGAGTGCTCTAACGATAGCCACTTTCGTGGTTTTCCAGCCAAATATAAAGAAATCAAACTATCACGCTTGAATTCCATCACGAATAACTTTTTTTCTGGAAAATTGTAAATAATACAATTAGGCGTTACTGGAGTAATTTTAACAGCTGTCGGACGAGTGGCTTAGAATTGACAGCAATCTGAAGTTGATTGCAGTTCTTTCATCTCATTCTGGATATTTATAAATCCACTGTAAATACACAAATCAGAGATGGAAACCTAA